AGCCTTTGTGTCTACACACCGTCCACCATCCACAGCCTCGTCCTTTCTACACCTGCATGCGGCTGTGGATCCACGTTTCGTGACCCTTAAGACTTTTGTGTGTAATTCTATTTTAGGTTCTCGCTGTATCCTGTGCTACCTGCCGCAGCGGTGGAATGTATTGTGTTGTTTACCGTGCCTCCCAATGTGTGTTGAGGCGTTGAGCGTGGCTGTGCGTCTTCAGCACGGAGCCCAATCCTTCCGTAAACGCCGGATGTATCGACACAACGTTTACTTCGCCTTCGTTGTTCGATGCTCGCTAGGCATATCCATGGACAACGAGGCTAGAATACGCTATGCGCGATGCGCTACGATAACAATGGGGGCAGAGCGAGATCTCGGTTGGCACCCGAGCGCGATGTGGCGAAGGGGCTTAGTGCGGCTGTTGGCTTCGTTTAGAGAGGTCACGATGGAGGGAGATACGGGGTGTGGGAGGAACGCTGGATATCATGCTATACTGCACTACGCGATGGTGTATATGTTTTTATATACTATGTACATGATTCAATTGTGTTACTAAAGTACGTCCAATGCACGACTGCCGCTTGAAGCGCCTGATTGCGACACAGAACCCAGCGACGGTATCAATTCATTTCCTATGAAAGGTCGTAGTACTCGTCAAGCTGCTCTCCATGCTCACTGGAGATGAAATCCATAATATCATCCACCGTGCCGTCCAAATCATCCTCATCCACTTCTTTGCAGTTGTCGCGGAGAAGCTGAATCAGCTGGTCCAGCGCAGTCTGCAGTACTTGCGGAGTCCACATGTACTTGCGCTCAGCTGCCACTTCCTCTGCGATCTTGTCCCAATTGAAGTCTCCGTCTTCTTCGCGATCATCACGATGATTTTGCAAGCTGGCAATCAGATCGTACTTGTCGCCCCACTGCATCTTGTCACCGGCATTTACAGTGAGCTTCTCGCCATCTGGATCAGCCGACGTGACACCAGTCTGGACCTCCTCACCGGGAAGCTCATCGTTCTCTGTTGGTGCTGAGACTTTACTGTCTTGCTCAGACTGGTCGTCGTCCGACTCTTGTGATGAGCTGCTCGACGCAACGCTGTGTTGATCTTCGTCGTCTTCGATCGGGTCGTCGTCCTCAATTGAGTTCTCATTCTGCTCTTGTACTTCGTCGTTGCCGTCTGTTTGCGGTTGCTCTGGGGAAATGATCGGTGCGGTGCTGAATGGTTCCTCTTCATCGGATGGTTCCTCAATCTCCTGCTCGGCGTCGTCACCAGTTGTCAGTGATTGGGCACGGTTCAAGTCCAGAGCTGGATCTATCAGGGCCGGATCGATCAGAGCCGGATCTACTTGGGTTTCCTGTACGACTGGCTGGGTTTCCTCCACGGCCTTGTCGTCACCCTCTGCATGCTCAGATTGATCGTCATTAGCAAGCTCCAGATCCGCTACTGACTCCTCGGAAACTTCGAGCTCGGTACGCTTCTCCGGTTCGTTCGATTCCAGAGTATCGCTCTTTCGAGGTGGTCCACGCTTCTTCGGCGGCGGCGAAACTTTCGATTGCTGATCAGCCTGAGCATTCTCCTCATCTGAATTCTCAATGACATCCCGTGTCTTGGTCGGCCGAGACTCCTCGTCGTCGTCGGCTTCTGCGGCCTCGCTCTTCTGTGACTTTCTCCGTTTCTTTTTCTTCGGTGGACTGTCCGCTTCCTTGCTGGCTTGTCCTTCTTCGTCGGAGCCATCAACAATCTCGTCGATCTCGGCAGTGCGGAACTTCTTCGGCTTCTTCACCTCCGAGCCCTCGCTCTTACTTGGCCGTTTAGCCTTCTTCGGCGGCAACAAAGTCCGGGCCTCTTCATCATCCGAGTTGTGGATGACTTCCTGTGACCTGGCAGAGTGAGGATTGGGTTTGGGTGTTGCGCCGGCCTCTCCCTTTGGCCGTCCGCGCTTCTTGGGAGTAGGCTCGGGAATCGCAGATTTGGAAGCAGCAGGCTTCTCCTTCCTCGGCTTGCGTTCGACCTCAATCTCTGGCGGAGATTCGCGCTTCTGCAAATTCCTCCACTTCTGTACGACCTGAATCCGGCTTCGGGTGTTGTCCATCTCGTGGCTGACCTGCTGCCAGTTGATGTCTTTCATCGTGTATTTGTCAATGGGTGGTAATCCTTCTTCGGCGCGGTGGTCTTCGTCTCGTTGAGCGACCGCTGTGACGGCGCGGATGAAAAGCTCCTCCTCTTCTTCGTCCCAGCGCGAAGACTTGAGCTTGTCACCATATTGCAGGTAATCGCGCCACCGGTTTTGACAGTCGTGCATGGAGCGATCCCCCATACCTACTGAGATGACCTTCCACTTGTTGGGGTGCATCGCGTAGAGTTGTTTTAGACGTTTGTCTTCCTCCTCTGTCCATACTCCCCTCTTGAACTGATGGTATGTCTGACGGATGTGTCTTCTCAACCTGTCTTGCGAGCGTTCTGTGCGAAGGTGCTTGATGTCGTCCCAGAATTCTGCGCTTTCACGCGCGTCCTCGATGTCCTGTGGTGCCCACTCGCTCTTGGATGATATAGTTCCATCGCCGGTGTTGAAGCTAGGGTCAGTTGGATTCCATTGTATGATGTCCACCAGTTCAGACACATCCAGGCCTTTCCTCTGCTGATAGTCTACGATAGCTCGACGGATGAGCTCTTCCTCGTCTGCGGTGAAGTCGCCGGAGCTTCGTAGATCTGGGGGGTGTTGTAGGTCATGCTCAACGTTCAATGCTCTTTCTGCCGCGGTACCAGATGGGGGATCTTTCCAGGTGAAGCTGTATCTGCCGCTTTCCCGCCGCGATGTGGCTTTCTTTGCAGATGATCGTCTCTTCTTTGTCTTCTTCTTCTCTTTGAAATCTCTGTGATCACCACCGGACGGTGGAGCAACGTCTGCCTCATCACTGGAGATGGGCTCTCGTATGATGCTGTCCTCGTCTTCCTCTTCGCCCGACGGCTGGGCAGGCGTGCGAACCGGAGTGGGCCGGTTGTCGATACTGTCCTTGTTCTTCTTTGTTTTCTTCAAACTGAGACGCGGCTTGGGCGTAGCTGTCTGCATGGTGCTTGCCTCTCCGTTCGTGGGACGCGGATCGTCGTCGGGTATCTCGTAGAGGTTTCTTGATTTCGCAACGGGGGTTTGCGGCTTCTTGATTCGTTTTAGTTTCGACTTCTGGACGGTCCGTAATTGCTCGGCATCCTCATCTTCCCCGCCTCCAATGAGGTCTCGTAGTGTAGTCAGCGACTTTGGCGTACCAATCTTCCTCCGTTTCGCCGATGAAGGTGTTCCGTCAGCGCCTCCCCTGGCGGCTTTGCGTGAATGTAAGCCGTTCGTTCCCGGCGCGACTTCCGTTTCTTGAGAGCGCTTGTTTTTCGATGCCGTATGCGAGGGTGAGGCTGCCTCGTCTGCGATCATGGTTGTGTCTCCGTCCTGGTCTATATCTGCTTCCTGCATAGCGTCGCTGATAGCCCGATCCCGCTTCGACTGCTTGCTCTGCTTGTATGTGCGTTTGCCTTTGGTTGCGCTGGACGGAATGACGTGGCTAGACATGGGCGACGAAGCAGTTGATTGCGCGGGTCGTCCAGGAATCTGAGAGTCTGGTACCTCAACTGCGGTGGCGTGAGTGAAACCATTGGCAGCAGGCGATTCGGGCTCCGGTTGCGTCGCGGGAAAGGGAAAAGGAGATGAGGCTGGAACGTCGTCCTGGGCTAGCATGCCTTTAGTTGGAGAAGTCGCGACACTCTTCTTCGTCAGACCGAGTGCGCTGTTTCGCTTGCGCTTCTTCTGAATGAGAGGAGAGGCGTCCTGGCTGCCGTCGACCTGGGAGAGGGTGCCAATGGAGCCGGCGGCGCCGATGCGCGTGCCCTTTTCGCTCATGAGCTGCTCTGACGCGGCGACGTCATCCATGTCTGGGTCTGCCACTCCAATGCGTTAGTCGTGGCTCTGGGCGGGAAGGTGGAGGTTGATGGAGCGAAAAAGTGCCCATTAAAACGCGTCGAGGCCGTCTACTCACTAAAGTGGGACCTGCGCGCCGTGGCGGGGGAAGCTACCGTCGCGGCCTCGCGTTTTGGGGAAGGAACGGGCTGAGAAGAGGAAGTACCCATCCTTCTCCTCAGATCGCTGAAGATGGCATACCCAGGGCTGGATTCGAGCATTGGCGTCGTGATAGCCTTTTGCTGTCGCGAACTTTGTCGACAACTCCAAAAAATTGACGTGTCGCGCTGCGCGAGAGACGTTCCTGGTCCCTGACTAGCCGAAGCCGGGCTAGACTATCTCCGACCCCGGTTCACTGATACCCAGCGGTCCTCCCCACTCTCCGCTCACTCCCGTCCCGTGTGAGGTTCGCGTATTCCGGATTGGATTGAGACCATGGCTACTGTCACAGCACTAGCATCTTCTCTCACGATCCTACAACAGCCGCATCAATCGTACTGTAATCCCGGAGCCGGTTCGTTGCAGGATGTTCCCCAGCAAGACGAGAGACGGCCTACCCAAGCACGTGGGGGTCGAGACAGAGATGTGGCTTCTATCATCAGTCATGTATGCGAGAATCCTCTGGTATTAGTTGCTTGCGCATTAGTAGAACTCTTGAACCTGGGGGTCATTCATCCGGTGTGACTTGTCGATAGCATGCCTATGAAGGGCACTGAGCAATCCGAGAACGACCCAGGACTACTGTTATAATTCTTGAGTAATCAAGATATATGTTTGTGAATTGCTCCTCAAGTTCATACAGCATCCACTCACTTAGCCCGTCACGTCCCCTCACTTCATTACCTAGTTCTTCTATGTGCCCATCCATTGGCACTACTTGTCAATCAGTCTACTTCCATTCTTGCTTTCACTCACGATCATAACGAGTCCCGACAACGTTAGGCCTCACTACTCATCGCACACCCGATCGGCCACATCAATCCTTCACATCGACTTACCGGGTTTTCAGCAAAAGAGACGTGCCATATCCCATCTTCTCTCAAATCCTTCAAGATGGGTCAGCAACAGAGGCAGAAAGAGGGCCACCATACCGAACGACATGCAGTACTGACAGGCCTGGATGCAAAAATCGACGATCTCGACGTCGCGATCGCCAGTCTGATTGCAGAGCAACACACATTGAAGCGAGCTCGGCAGTATGTTCTGTCAACACACGCAAAGGCTTCACGTAGCTCAAATGACAACACTACTCCAGCAAATACATTTCCCAAATTACCCATGAGGCCTACATACCCTTCGCCTTCCTTCACAGCAAAGAAAGCGCCGTCACGTCTCCGCCAGGAAGTACTGATCCGCAACGCCATGGAGAGGGATAAGAGTTCTTCACCTCCAGGATCTGTTGGCTTGCTATCGAGCGACGAGTTCGAGGCTTCCTTTCCAAACCATAACGTGCTTCGCGGAAACAATGACGGCAACGTGAATGGCTGTTGCGGCGACATCGACGGCAAAGGTGATGTGAGGATGTCAATCGAAGGCATGTCATCTTCAGCAGCGGAGAAGCACTCTGCACTCTCTCCAACCACGACAGCGGATCCGGCCTCACGCAGCAACACCCCATCTTCAGCGAGTGATACGAACGCACTCAGGCCATCATCTCGCAATGGCCAAGGTGCTCATTGGCAGGCAAAGCGAATAAACAAACGCAAGTTGCAGGAGAACCCGGCCAAAGCCCGAGAAGTGCGGATGAGGAAATTGCAAGCAGCAAACTCAGCAGCCGCATGAGGACGACATGTGAGTCCATCAAACATAGGGGTTATGTGTCAACGGATAATGCTTAGGAGTTTAGACTGGAGTTCGGCGTTGTTGTTACGAAGGAAAAGTTCGGATATGATAGTTGTTGAGGATGATCATTTGTGGTGAACGATAACCAAAAGTGATATTTACTCCTCTTTCTGGTTCCTACATTTACCACGAAATTACAAACTTACCAAGTCATTCCCAACCCTTCCTTCATGATCCTCTATCCAATTTGTAGCAACAACCAATATTGGGAGTTCAGGAGAATTTATTTCAAACATTCGCAAATCCCCCAATTCGAGAACACCCAGCCACACACAACATTTATATCATACACATTTTCATGGGCTCATTGCTCCATTCATTAACATTCCAAACCAATTTATCAAGGAATACTGGCTATTCCCATCGTTATGTGATATGCTGAAGGGCTAGAGGGCTGAAGTTGGTGATGTGTAGAGGCTTGGGATATGGATTCGGACTCCGCAATGGTGGATGATGCGACACAATAACTTTAGTATTGCTTTGAAAGACTTGTCATGCAGGTTAACTATTGAAAAAGTATTGCGCTTTGGAGTCGCATAGGTGATCAATTGTCCTGGGTTTCGCGCTCGACGACTGGTGCATTCCGTCGCTGGCAACTTGGCGTCGGCTTTGGGGATGCATGGCAGCAGCAGCCGTGTCGCATGCGAAGCCGTTTCTGCAGGCGCCACCTCACTGTGCGCAAACACTGACGAGCCATGCAATAAATCATTCAATTACAGTAGACTCAGAAGCGCTCAACAGACGGTTCGTCATGATAGTTTAAAGTGTGACACGCAGCGCTCTGAGGTCTTGTGCCTTCCTCGTGGACACCGCCGCCCATGGGCGCCGGAAAGCGCGACGCGAAGCGACACGCATCTTCCTCTCCCGCCACACCGCGATTCCCCCAGCACCCAAGTAATCTAAGTTTTCTTCCTCAACCGACGAGCAAGCCCATCTTGTCAATGAAAAAAAGTAGTCAACCTGTCAGATTGCCATCAACGTCCTGCCTCCCAGCGCAACACGAAGTCGCAAACCAGTCAGCTGAAGATCATCGCCACGCACGCCGAAGCGTCCGTAAAAAAAGCCTCACTCCGGGACATCGAGGCTGATAGTCATCAACCAGGGTGGAGATTCTGTGGCTACTTAGAGTAACTCAGAAGAGGATGCATACTATTAGAAATGATTCTATGAAGTATGATCGACATGATGAGCAGAAGGAGGGACGGAGGGCGGTGGGTTTATATAGGCAGAGGAGGGAGGGCATGGGCCAGGGAGCACGTGATGGCTAGGCGGTGTTGGGGGAAGGTTTTTTCACAAGATCCACTGTGTAGGGCCGATGTTGGCCGGGAAAACCTATCGTGGGGGCTGGGAGTGAAATTTCTGAGCGTTGATGGGGTGTTTGTTCAGTGTGGGATCATAGCGTTCGGCCTGCGGTGTGCGTGCGGGCGAACTTTACCACTGTGACGCGTGTGAATGGTTGTTTGTGTTGGTTTTGCGGAGACTTGTACCACGGCGAAAATGGCGGTCGAATCAGGTTGGGTCAGGGGCGGTGGACAGCCGGCGGGTCGCGACTTTGAAGCGTTGCGCACGACGAGAACACGAAAAGAAGACGAGAACATCGCTGGATCAGGTCGCATCGACTTGCGGATAATGAGCACGATGGCGACGAGCAGAATTTTGTGTCTGGGTCGATGAGCTATCATTTGATCATTTCTCGTTGCGATGTGACCCCGGTGTTGGCCGCCCACTGCCAATCGCAAGTCCTTTACGCCTGCTCAAAAGGCTACTTTCAAACGCTTGAGCTACTCCATCACTACAATACTATGGAACAAACATCACTTGGACAGTGAACAGTGATCCGAAATGGTCGTTTTTTCCTGTTTATCGCATGTTATGTCTCCAGACCCTTGGTTGCAACTCTGCGACGTTCAGCCTCACCTATCCCTCGTCCCCGCTAGAGATTGCAGTGCACGCGGATTCTGCAGGAGTGATGCACCGCATTTGGTTCCAACCGTGCGACCGGTCAACCAGCAGTCTAAGCAAGAGATGCTCAGCCGACTCTTCCACTCATGCGCTTCCAAGACTTCCGGTCGACCTTAGGTGCCTCCTCTTCCTCCTCACTGTCTTCCACAACAAGCTTCGGCCCCACAGTCCTCCCATCAAACCGCTGGCGTCGCTCACTGACATGAACTTCCACCTCCCTCCCCCGCTTCCTATACCCCTTGACAAGCCACTCGCCAAACTTATACAGACAAGCCAAGCGCCCCTCCCCTCCCTGAAGATGATTCACACCTTCGAGATACACCCTTTTGACCCCGCTATGATCAAGCATCGGTCTGAATTGAAAGGCATCCACAAAATCTTCTAGATCGCGAGGGCTCTGGTATTGTGTATACGCTCTATCGACGAGCTGGATCCAGTGGAATGACATGGCAATGGTGTCGAGTTGTGTGCATTTAAGCATTAGGCTGATGTCGAGGTTCTCGTCGATGTCATGTTTGAATCGGATGATGTGCGCTTTGTACTTTACGTGGGGGAAGTTGATGCGCTTGATGGCTGCAAATCCCTGGGTGGTGGTGACACCATCGATGTTGACCACGGGGAACGTAGAAAGGAAGTCTGCGAACCAACGGGCGATCTTGAACGGCTTCTTGGAGTCGTACTTGAAGTCGAACCACTCGGTTGTTGAGAGCATGAAGAGGGTGACTTCGCTCAGGAGCTGCTTGTTCGTGAACGCGAGAGCAGGTAGCCAGGGCGCGACTTTCGCGGTCGTCAGCTCGTCGCCGGCATTTCGATCGCAGATGATGAGATCGTCTGGCCAGCGCCAGGTGCAACACGGATTGTTGTAATTGTCAACATGGAGATGCTTTGCTAGACTCGAGGTGTTGCGCGCATTCTCCAAGTAGGCCTCGAAGACGTCGCAACAAGGCTTGCGGTATCTGAGGTGGCCATGATTCGCCAGCGTTGAGTCATTGTGCGCTGTCTCTAGATCTAAGTAGGCTGCGAAGATCTTGAGACGTAACTCGGCGGGTAAAAGGAGGAACTTGGTGAATTTGGGCTCATGGACGAGTGTCGCTTCATGACTGGTGATTTTGGGAATAAGGTTGACCTCGGTCATTGTCGCGTTGTGACTGCTCTCGTGCTTTCGAGTTGTCGGTGACTGCCATGGTAGCATGGACGCCTTGATCTCCCCGCGCGGGCTGCCTGACGCCCTGCTTACATGGCACCTGGGCAGGATTCTACACGTCACGTGATGTCTTTCTCTTTGTAGACCTGGTGTCCAGGTGCATTCACTTCAGCGGCGGCGAGTTGACACACCTACCTAGGTAGGTAGGTACCCTGTTGCCTAGACCGAATGGTCAGTGCTCAGTCTTCTCCAACGTCATGTCTATCGCCATATCCACTTACTGCATTGTTCTCGCTCAACAAGTCGCTACTCTCAACTCGAGATTGACAATCCGATATGCCGAAGTGTATACATTACGAGGTAGAAGTATGTATTGGACTCAAACTTCTTCGTCAACTTTACTAATCTATGATGCTAGGACGCTGTTTCTTCCGAGTACATGCTCCTTGTCGCAAGAGCCACAGACCATGACGGTTGCGTGGACCAATCCGATGACCACTCACTTCTCGAGGCTTTCCAGGATCTTCTCGAGGGCGTTGGAAACACCATGGAATACGAGACCGAATCCGTTCTACACATCACACCGAACGATGCGCTGGGTGATTCGCTCGCCCAGCATAGTGAGAGCTCCAACCTATCTGTGGACCCATTCTACGAGGATCTCACGAAAGCTTTCCGCTATCTTTCTTCTGCAGGTCTTTGGTATCTACGTTACGAGCCATTTCTCCGCAGAACATTCGCAGATAGGGAGTTCACCAAGATCGCGAAGGCAAGCATGTCATACCTCAAAGACAATCGCGAATGTCGCTTTGAGCCGTTCGTTCCGTACCATCAACAGCACATACCCGAAACTCTGGTACAGCTTTACGAAAACATGGGGTATGGTTCGCTCGGCGACGCTGTCTTTCGCCACATGACGGGCTGGTATGATGTAATCAAGTGTGCAAGATTCTGTGCGCATACCTGGCAGCGGTGCTGTTTCTGCGGTCTTGTTCATAGCCGCCACGATTCCACCGACATTCTTGCTTCACGCGATGTCCCGACCGCGGTGACATACATGCACCAAACGACAAACGACCTAATACCCATCGACCAGTTGGCGTTCCAGGATCTCGCAAAAAGAGCGGAGCAGTACTTGGCTTTCACCAATGACTACGATATCTGGCCGGATGCAAAGGTAGCAGCTTTCCGGGAATTCTCTGGTCCTGTCGTTGAATGGCTGCACTACGAGAACGGCATTGAACGGATCGAGTGGACAGAATTCAAGGACATCGCTGCAGCAGTGACGGGATTCCTATCCTACGAGCCACCACCATACTTTCCCCACTTCTTACGATTGCCGGCTGAGATTCGAAAGATCGTTTACCACCACTATCTTTTCGGAAACGGCGCTGTATTTCTGGCCGATCTCACCAGCGATCATGTCTGGGCCTGTTGTGTCTGGGACTATCCGTCCAAGCTGACCGTTTGCAAACATAGCCGGAAGACTCTGATCCCATGCCCACAAGCTTACAGCGATGTCGCACGTTGGTACGCGGCTTTGAGTCTTACATGCGGACAGTTGCAGGGCGAGGTCGTTGTCTTCATGCTAGAGCGCACGCAGCAGATTGTTCTCGACTTCGGGAAAGGCGATGGTGACGGCGGCGCGTGGTTCTACAACATCCTGGCTGCAATTCCTGGTGGTGACGGCCTGCGGGCAGTGAAGCACCTAGCCTATCGTCTTGAGCATTGGTGCCCCGACTCTCAGTCTTCACTCATTCCAACAAGTCCTATGGCGGAGCTTGCAGTCGCTTGTACTTCCCTCCTAGAACTCCAGTGGACAATTAATATCCGAGAGCTCTTCTGCTTTGACTCTCCAACCGGCTTGGGCAGCCCACGATCTGTAGATGCGCTACTAGATAGGCTCGCACTCCGCCCCTTGATCAATTGTGAGCGCATGAGGCGGATTGTCATTCATGGCGTGTATGAAAGTCTTGAATGGCAGCGTATTCCAAGTGACTGGGACGTCCTTGTCGGCGTGGGGAAGTGGTTGATGAAGGGAATTTTGGTTCGACGATAGCGGCGCATTCAGGTGATTATACAGCCTTGCGATGGACGTGAATGGCCTAATAGAAGAGTCGTGGAGCTAGATGAAGCAGACGAGAAGGAAGTAAAAGATAGGTGTAAGGCGAAGAAAGCGAAGGCCTTGCTTGCACCAGTGCAGAGAGATCAGGGCCTAGACATTTTGTCAAGTCTCTTTGGCGACGAAGTACGAGAAGACATCACAAAGAGCAGCGTACAATAATATATGCAGAACGCTTGCATGATGCTCGTAACCGCCCCAGAATATGTGCCCAGGGCATAAACCTGCCTACATCAAGCTCGCAGCGTCCCTCTCCCACTCAAACTCATCTTCATTCTTCCAATAGTTAGTACCACTCTTCCTAAACCCCATTTTCTCCAACACTCTTCCACTTCTCGCATTGAGCTTCTCTGTCTCGGCGATGAACCTCTTTACACCCCTCTCAGCCGCCGCCCACTGCATGACTGCTTCCGCGGCCTCGCGAGCTACACCTTGACCCCAATAAGCCGGCGCAACACCGTAGAGCATTTCGACCATCTCTTCCCACGGTGGTAGTGAATCGTCAGAATCGTCGCGTGGAGGAAGAGAGGTTGTGGTTGCATCCCGTACGCCTGCATAGCCTAGCCATTCGATGGCGCCGAGTATTTGGCCTACGTTTTCCATCTCATCTCCATCGATGATCCGGACTTTCTCGCTCGTATCTTTTAAAGACCGACCCATATCATCGTTGACTTGCTCTTTCGGTCGCCAGCCAACTGCAAAAGTGCCCAATCCCCGCTTCTCCCAACACTGTGCAATGTCTCGTGTAGCGATGGAATTATGCATTTCTTCTTGCGTGCGCTTCAATACGGGAAATTTATCGCCGAATCCCATCTCGCAGAATGACGCATCTGCGAGGAGGTTCGCGAAAAGAGCGACATAAGCCGGTATCGAGATAGCCAATGGCGTAGGTACAATGATAAGTCGAGGTGTGACAAGGGCGAATCGCGAAAACGGCGTTGAGGACTGTTGGGAAGTCATCTTGAGGTCTACCGGGATTAATGAGATGCATGAACAGTCTTGCGGATACTTGTACATTTGGTAAGACGATAGAAGAGATGACTCGGAGGGTCTTCCGCCGCAAGAAGAAGCCACTAAGTGTAGTCTAGCCTAGCGCCATATGACTCAAAATGATGGAGAAGCACCGGATGTATATATATCATTTAATCTAGGCTGTCTTGTTCGCCTTCATTGGCTCGATTTGGAATGGCGAGAAATGCTTTCCGCGCATGCTGTCCCAGCTCTCAACCAACGCTTCACACCTCCGCCAGCTGTTGTCCACCACTTTCTCGTGCTCTTCAACAGTCCTTTGCACCCAGCCATCCCTCTCGTCTGCCACCATCACTACCTCGTCGCCTTTGCCGCTATATTTGTATTCTTTCCACGGTGTCTCTTCATTCGCGAATCGGTTCCAAGTTCGTGCGTGTTGGGTAGAAATATCCTTGAGTCTTTGCGACGGGTAGCGAAATTGGTACGTTTTGAACACGTAGTAGACGTCGACCCAGTGATGCGCTTGCTGCCAGAAGGGACTGGTAGCGAAAGGATTGCGAACGTCGAACACGTACCGATAGACCTTCTTGTTTGTGTGCTGGGTGAGATATTGTGCTAAGTGGTGAGTCGGCGCTACAACCATTAGCTATGCACACTGCACAATGCGGAAAGTCTCACCATCGAAAACGACGTCGCCTACCCAACGTGCACCTGCAGTTATGAACATGTTCTTGTCCATTCCCGGCGAGATGCCGTAAGCTTGCTCGACGAGGTCCGCGCTTTTCTCGCCTAGCTGCTTTGCGATGCCTTTGAGGAAAGCGTCCGGGCTGACAGCAGTAATTCCTGACATCAACGTCACGCCCTGTATGTCTGAGTAAGCTTCTCGATTTGGACGTAGGATTGAGAAGCATCAACTCACCTCAAAGCCAGTAGTACCCAGAATAATCTCGTTGACCCACTCGCATCTGCCAAGCAACTCGGGGATGCGGTCCCATGTCACGGAACCCGCTTCATCACCAAACCATTCAGAATCTTGGACCGAAAGCCACATATTACCAGCTGCTCGATGCTCGGCGGATTCTTCGACGATCTTTTGTACGTCCACCTGACGTAATTGCTGCAGACCTGCCTCGCCTTCTTCTTCAATCCCAACTCTTCTCAAAAAGCTTTTGTATGTCTCGCTTGCGCTTTCGGGTGATAGCGGTGCTGTCGTTGGCCCAATAATGCCAGACATGAGAATCGCTCTCTGGAACAGAGGACCCGAAGACGGAGGTTGGCGTAGCATGTGGGCGCAAATTGACATGGAGCCAGCGGACTCTCCAAACGCAGTAACCTTCTTCTTGTCCCCTCCAAAGCCCTCGATGAACTTTTGGATCCAGAGAAGCGCATTTCGTTGATCGTTTAGTGCGAGGTTTGCATTTCCAGCCTCCGGAGTATGTAGATAGCCAAGCGCCCCCAAACGATATTGTATGCTCGCGGAGATGATGGGTTGGCCATCGAGGATCGACTGCTCGACCATGAGAGATGTGTTGTGCTGCTCGTCAATCTTTCCGAGCACGAAGCCTCCCCCATGGATGTAGACCGATACAGGGAGTCTTGAAGAGGGTGACGGCTGCTTGAGGCACGAAAGCGGTACATTCACCTGAAGGATAGCACATTTCAACTCGTCCGTTGAGTGTGGAAACCTTTCGCCAGGGAAGTTACCGCGGCCAACCGCGTCAATGTTAAAGACTTGAGGGCACGCATAGCTGAGGGCATTAGCTTCTCTTCCGAGGGAAGCATCAGGGCAAGTTATACCCATGTTCCGTGAAGTCTTTCTTGCCCGCAAGCGTATCTGAGAGAACAGACTGCTTGAAGCGAGCGGGGATGGTGGCGTATGGCACGGCGCGAAACTGAACAACGTTGTCGGGCGTGACGATGCCTGTCATGGGCCCTAGGTCGGCATGGTGAAATGTGAACGTCTGCGGTGTCTGGTCCTTTGATGCCATTTCTTCGTGTGTAAATGCAATTTGCCGCGATGTTGTGAAACTGCGAAGACAGGCCCGATATATATAAGATACAGACGGTGCACGTAGACGACGTGGGGAAGAAAGTTCACGGTTCCTGAACGACCTTGTATCTACCGGGAAGTGGAGACCAGGCCCGTCGAACCGGTCGGACGCGTAAGAAACATCCGATCCGCTTACAGAAATGCTGATTGTTGACGCCTACCATGCTGCCTTGAGCTCTGTGATGGTAAGATCCAGGATGGGTGGTGTGTCTGACAACGGACAAAATGCGCATCTCTTACAGCTGTTGTAGCTGGGACGTGCGATACGTAAGGGTGCCGCTTGGTGTTGTGACTGGAAGTAAGCTTCAGCCTTTCGGACTCAAACTGGCCGCCGAAGGCGGCGGGGTTATTCATCGGCACATCAGCGCGCGAGACCGAGGATGAACGGTTGTAATAGAGCGCCGAGAAGCGAGCCAATCAAGTTGCTATGAAACTATGAGCTTCTCATCCCGCGACGGATCATGTTGTCTGTCGAAGGTGTCACGTTCGTGAGGTACCGGTGACGTGCACGACTGCAGACATAATGTGGGTGGTTTATGTTCCTCACGCTAAGTCGAATCAGAGTTCGGCTGCTACGCGTCTCGACGCGTCCCGAGGTTGCTGTCCGCGCGTCCTGGGTCTACGACTTTGATCACTAGATATGTCATTCAGTCAACAACTTTCATGCAAATCTTTATTGCTCTATTAACCCTTAACTAATTCTAGTATCAACAGGAGAAAGGGTATCGTTCCAGTACAAGCAGGCATCAGAACCCAGTTCTAGAACGCCGGGGAAAGGAAATGGTATTGTGGCGTGTCGCACCCCTCACATACCTCATTATGGAGACGCCGGAGATATGTACACGGAGACAGGAACATTGTTGCTGCCATCTTCCTTGCCAGAAGCAAGAAGAGCCTCGGCTTCATCAGCGAGATACGCCGGATTGCTCTCGAAGCGAGGATCAAGCCACACCGCATTAGCATCATTATCCTTGATCATCTTCTTGATGGTCTTTGGTTTCTTGTGGCCGCCAGCGTAGAAGATGACAGCGCGAATAGCACCAAAGATGGAAACGAGGCTGTAAAGCTGCTTGTACAAAGGATAGGTCATGGCGGCCCAGAACCGGGGCTGCAGATCGGGGCGGTGTCGCGCGTTGAAGTACTTAAAAGCGAGGATCGGAATTGTGGCAGCGAGCATAAGTGGGAGGCCAAGGCGCCAGAAGTTTGGATCACCGCCCATGGTGACGAAGACGGGAACGCGCACCCAATCCACGATGATGGTGGCGATGGAGTAAAGGTGGATAAACTTTTGCGTAAAGATGCCCCATGGTGTTGTCTGTCCATTGAGAGAAAGCAGCATACGGTCCGCAAAAGCGATGAGACGTCCATGCCGACCCATCTCCCACGAGCGATAACGTTGGTTCCACCAATTGAGACCTGGCCCAAGGACGGTAGTGGGTACTTCGGTCTCGAGCACGCACGTTGCGTCAAATGCGATGCGCTTCTTCATCTTCTGCATGGACAGACCGGTGTTGACGTCTTCGGCGATAAAATCGATGGAATGGTAGTTGCTAATGAGATCGATGAGGGTTTCTCTTTCGCAGAACCAGCCCGCACCATGAGGGTACAATACTCCACAGATGGATGACTCGGCGAGCTTGGTGAGGCCACTCATCTTGTACTCGCAGTCTTGCCATGCTACGAGGCAAAGTGGTACGTCGCCATTGGCGTCAACGGCCTTTAGGGGAAATGCGCAGCCCTTCGTAACATCGTCCATCATGTCGATGGGTGGACGGAAGGTTGCTGGGATGGAGACATCGTCGTCGACCGTCATGATCCAGTCGTAGTCCTTCGCCGCCATAGCACCCACGAGTTGTGCGGCGTTCTTACTACCAATAGGCGACCAGATGTAGTTGATGTTTGGATGCTCACTTCGGATGAAGTTGCGGAACTCGGGAGAGACCGGATGTCTCGTGCGGCCATTGTCGACGACGAAGATGTCTTGCGGTCGGAAGTGAACAAACGCACTCTTGAGAACCTTGCTCGTGGCTTCGTGGTCGCTGTTGTGGCATGGAATGACGAGTGCAGTGCGGTGCGCTGGCGTAGCTTCGACAATGCAAATAGCCTTTTCTACGTCGAGTTCGACATCCGGAGCAGCCCTTTCGACAGGCGGACCGACCGCGGGGTGGAGAGGAGGCACGCGAGCGACCAGTAAGATGATTGTGATCATGATCGGCTCGAGGCCGATGACGATGATGAGGACCGGTAGCATGTTGCTTCGCGTAATCGCCATGGACTTCCTGATCCAGCCAAAGTAGTGATCCGAGATCGCAACCCCAACGGCAAGTGCTGCCACCACGAAGAGGATAATGTATTTCTTCCAGGTGAAAGGCCAAAACACCTCGCGAATATCGATCATCTGCCACACCGTTCTTGGATGAACATGGCTGAAGATCCTTTCTTTGACGGTTGTAAAGGCACAAAAGAACACGTTTCGTCGGTCTCGCTTGGGTACACCCTGACGAAGGGGAAGCGAATCGCTAGTGGATTGAGGAAGGCTCGTTGTAGAAGATGCAGGAGTTCCATATGGATATGGGGGAGGTTGGTCATCCCAGCTGTTGACCGATCTCGAGGAACGATAGGAGAAGAAAGCAGGCCGAGGTTGTGGCAAATCATGGTGGTTAGGCTTTGTCGTTACTTCTACCACAGGATGACTTTCTGGAGATGTAGTCGGGATAGGTAGTATCTCGTCTACATCGATGAACGGGTTGACAGGCATCGCACCAATTTTTAGAGAAGATAAAGATGGGCAAGACTCGGTCGCGAACCGATTGGAAGAAGGGCAATAACTAACGAATGAATTGAAAGGTCGACGTTGACGTTGGGTACACAAGAAGATACAGCATGGCTCTCGCACTGTTTTGAAGACATCTTTCACGTCGATCTAGAACGAATTGTGAGAATATCGATTTTGCATTCGCCATTCTGACAACTCAACAACACGCACTGCTACAACTTCAGCTTTGCGCCACAATATCGTTCTGGAGCACCGCAGTCCCAGGAACTATTCTAGTTCAGTATGCAAATGCTTACCCTGATGTTCTGGCACGTTGCCAGGCACCAGAATCTTGGCTTGTGAATGGCGCTAAGTTGTTGCATATGTCGCTTCGGCCCGCCATGAACGCCTCCATCGAGTTAGCCTGAAACAACGGATCATGGAAAAGAACGGTATGGATTGGACGGGACCTACATACCTTGTAAGCTATGTCCACATCTGGAAGTAATGGTACGGAAAGGGCGAGGTCTGGCCACCTACGAGTAGACGTACGCATTGCAGGTGGCTAAAGTGGCGATGTCTCTTTCATCCTCTTCGGGACGCCCGACCAACCGGCTCACGAAAACCCATGTCCCCGCCAATGCTGGCGTCACGCATCTCCACGCTGCAGTACTGGGTGCTAATTGAGCACAGGGCTGGCCAGACATTGCTTCTGGACGTTGATGTTGCGTAACGACAACCTCCACGTTGTCAACATGTACGCATGGTACTTTCCCACCCCAGGAGTGCCGCCTAGATCGCACCAAACATGCTTCGTTCCCAGAAACGTGACGCCTCCATGTCGTGGCGAGGTAGATCAAACAAATAATTGTGGCTGACACATTTCTAGAACACCAGGGTAGACGGGCCGTTGTACAGCACACTGCCTGTCGGAATGGCCGTCGGAGAAAGAGAATGTCAGCAGTCAAATATTGACAGCGCACGTAGTCAGCTTGGAGCGAAGGCGCTCAAGCTATCGATTTGAAGAGGCTTTTGGCGGAGAGGATGCTCTCGAGCTGAGGGTATTCGATGCTGGATATCGGAGTCTAGATCTGAAAGTGCAGCTCAGAGAGCCATTGATGATGATGAGCGAATTGGGGACTTGGTGGAGGTACAGACGACGCAAATTATATAAAGCATGAAGAGACTACAGTGGAAGACGATACCACACTCGCTATCGAACAATATGTCTTACTTCGGAGTGCACTCAAGCTCCTCTTCTGCAGCTGCATCCCCTTCCTCACCTACTTCAACTATCCCCTCAGGATACAGTACCCCTGCTTCTGATATCGACGAGCTCCAGTCTTACGACTCGGGGATATATAACGCTCGCCGATCACAGAGCGTGCTCGTGGTCGGAGGACTAGGCTATATCGGTAGCCATACGTCACTCGAACTCCTCAGAGCTGGTTATAATGTTGTGATTGTCGACAATCTGGACAACTCGTACCTAACGACACTGGACCGCATCAAGGTATTGCGAGATGATCATTACCGCAATGCCTTATTGAGACCGTCAGTTGCGTTCCACGAAGCCGACTACCGAGACAACCGTACCATGTCTGTCATTATGGAACGGTATAGCGCTAGGTCAGGCTCCGCCATCGAAGGCGTCATTCACTTCGCCGCACACAAAGCCGTTTCCGAAAGCATTCAGCAGCCGTTGCGGTACTACGCCAACAACGTAGCAGGCATGGTCACCTTCTGCTCGCTATTGGAGAGCCTGAACATCAAGAAGCTCATCTTTTCGTCATCCGCTGCCGTTTATGGCGAGGTCACAACCGAAACTGGGCTGCGAATAAGCGAAAATCACTGCCTGCACGAAACCCGCGAATGGATCGACGTGGCAGGTGACAAGCGAGTTACCCAGGGCGGCTGCACGGCGATCTCAAATCCATATGGCCGCTCCAAGTGGATGTGCGAGGCTATTCTGAACGACCTGGCCATCTCGGACCCAGAGTGGTCTGTGGTGGCTTTGCGCTACTTCAACCCCATAGGTTGCGATGCTTCTGGCAAACTAGGAGAGGACCCTAGGACAGCACCCAGCAACCTCATGCCGAGCTTGCTGCGAGTCATGAATGGCCAAACACCGCATCTGAAGATCTTCGGCACCGATTGGGATACTAGGGACGGCACGGCAATGCGCGACTTCATCCACGTCAGCGATCTAGCTCTGGGTCATGTTGCTGCCCTCAAAGCTGTCGGTGAGGCACGGGTGGGACCCGGCTTCCACGCGTACAATCTAGGCACTGGCGATGGCAATTCTGTCAAGGAGATTGTGTCAGCAATGCAAGCCTGTTCAGGGAAGGTCATAGAGACGCAGGAGGTTGGACGTCGCGCGGGTGACGTAGGCGTTGTTGTGGCGGACCCCACGAGGGCAGCTGCAGAGCTCGACTGGAGGACAGCAAAGTCGATCGATGATTGTTGCCAGGATCTCTGCCGCTTTCTCAATATTGCTAGTTCCGCGGGGAGTAGCTGAATTTGTATCTGATTTCTTTTTTCTTCTGGACAATGGGAGTGGGCAGGAGAAAAGCGGGTTCTATTTTCGGGTACGGTACCGGGTGCCAAGACAGCTTGTGCCCGCAAGTGTAATTTGATTTGTTGAAACATAAGTAGGCGCCACGACTAAGCCACCAAAATCTGCACGCCTCATTCGTGCCATGTTATCTTGTTATGCACTGGTACCAAAAAACAACGCTGCCCTGCAATACCGCACGCTGACATCGAAGCTCCTTTGAGGGAACGTCGGGAGTCGAATTTGAGAAACTGAACGCCTTTACTACCAATGCCTCGCTCCCACGCCTATGCAGGTGACATTCACACTTCAAGGTTACGAAAAGGAGACCTCTGCACGTATGTAGTATAAGCTGGTCCGACTACTACGTCGCGACGACTGCAGATCTCATCTGCTGTGATCCCAAGCGCTTACCTTTGATGTTTATCATGTTTTACAGCTCAGTTCTTTTCTTGGTCTTCGCTACATCTCCTTTCTTCGCCCAGGCCGCTGCGCAATGTAATCGGTTCTCCACCAATGGTTCGACAGCGGCAACATACGACTTCCATCGTTTTTACGACTTCAGGCAACTTCACGAAATTGCCAATGTTGATGCGGCGTCCGCTTCATCCTACGGAGAGGGTCACTCGATCACCGAATCAGCCAGTGGCCAGTCCAAGATTATCCAAGCTGCTCCTTGGGTCTCGGGTTGGAATGCGCGAGACTGGTACAGACCGTCGCCAAGGGAGGATACGGTGGATATGTACTATAAACCATCTCGTGTGTCAATAAGTAAGCTGGAATCTCTCTCTTTTTGCTTCTACCGATCTCTAACCACTCATAGGCAAAAACAGCGACGTGTCGCAAGAACACTCTACCTATCTTACCTTACACACGAAAAGACTCTCGGATGGAAGTCAGGTGGCCGCTGAACTAGACTTCGCGGAATTCAATGTCACATACGCCTCTATCCGCATGTCCGCACGCATCAATGGAGCCAGCGGCGCAGTTGCGGCTTTCTTCACGTACCACGACGACACCAATGAGTCCGACATAGAGATACCGACTGGGGTCAAGGCTGACGAAGTGCACTACTCCAATCAGCCCACCGCCGATCCCGACACTGATGTACCCATCGACGGTGCAACCTTCAACGTGTCAATGGAGGCTCACAAGCCGACTTCTGACTGGAACAACTACAGGCTGGACTGGGTACCCGGGAAAAGCGCGTGGTACATGAACGGTGCGCAATCGGCTGACACGGAAGTCAACGTACCGGATGCAGAGAGCATGATCATCTTGAGCCTTTGGAGTAACGGAGGCACCTTCTCAGGACGTATGGGGACCGGGCAAGAGGCCTGGTTCGATATCCAATGGGTGGAGTTGCTCTTTAATACGAGTGCTAGCACTAGCACCGATCCCGATGGGACAGTATGCTCGGTAGAGTCATCGCCAGGCTCACCGGTACCCAATGCCTCGCGCGGACTTCAAGATCTGGTTGCTGGGCGTATTTGGTGGGCTATTGGTCTGGCGTCAGCTGTTAGCTTTCTGGTATTCGTATAATAATACGAAGTATATGTAGAAGTATGCACGTGTGGGGTACATCACATTGTGTGGGTCAAACGCGGTAGGATGTCGACCATGATACGTTGGTTGCTGCGATCGACGTTTCTGGATTCGTGCCGTACCGTCTGGACATGGATTATAGGTGCGGAAGCGGTAGTATCGACGACATCAGGCACCCGACAGAGGGCTCGTTGATGTTTCCCATGAGAGCAGTTGGGAGGGTATTTTCTCTCAAGCCTGGCGTCATACAGCGTTCGGAGTGGCTCGCCGTGGATTTCATACTCCCGGAGTTCATCACGCGCACGACACTTTGATCCATGCCGCCTTCCAGGACTACGCATTGCTTGCGGGGAAACTGCGGAGGGCCGTCTAGGGAAGTCGTTATGCACGAAGCGGCAGTCATGTGAAACGGAAAGCACATCCCGAATTCATCTGTTCAGACGCCGCAGTCCTACCTTCCGCCCCTACCAAATTTCTTTTGACTCTTATCCATAACACTCAGTTATAGCTCCCTCAAGCACAGCATCCGAGACACCACCCACTATGCGCGTTCCCAATACTACCATGATGCTCAGCATACTCATACTACCGGATCTTTGTATCTACGATGCCGCCGCCCTGCCAACTGAAGCTTCCGACAATTTGTGGAAGCATATGAGCGTACGTCGCTTCCGCCCGCATTGCAAGGGTCAGGTACTGACAGATTTTCCTCTAGATCCAAGTCTGTAACGTGGCCAACTTCAAAGGAGCCTGCCGTTACTTCGACGTTATGGTGGACGAGTGTCGCGACATCAGCAGGGAGTAGTACGTATAGATTATGTTGACTTCATATATGAAGCTTGTGCTAACACATGCACCTCAGCTCCAGAGAGATAAGCTCAGTTCGCGCCGTGACCCACATGGGCTGCTGTCAACTGTATCGGTATGCTCATTCCTTGCTACCTTCTCTATGGTCTAGCCACACGCTCACAAAGGCTAATTGTAGAACTCCGCACTGCGAGGCTCTCTCCGGCGATACCGACATGGCCGTACGCTGGGGCGAAGGCGGTAAATCGACACTTTCAGGTTGGACGAAGCGGGATATCAAGAGCATGAAGTGCTTCATCCTGGGCCGGCCGACCGAGATGATCGACTACTACTGAGTAAGAGTTGCGGGAAAGAATAAGGGTATATGGGCTGGTATACAATGCGCTCAATCTAGACATGGCCTCAAGACTGGGACAGTCGGTAGGTAGGGAGAAGCTTCAAAAAAGCTATGTGTTTAGACATGAGTACAGAGACCCGGAATATGTTTGACATCGAGAGCGGACAATGATACAATGGTAGTATATTAGAGTCTACATAAGCGAGACAATCCGAATGTGCTTCGATATGTCCCGCATGAAACAGCAGCGAATCGTACAGGTAGTGTACATGATGTCATAGCAGAGGCCAGGATATCGGTAGAAAGAAGAGGGCCGAGCGGTCAAACTCGGGTGGGGTACATAATGTCGTGACGTCGTAGCGTGAGGGTATCGTGAGAAGAAGAGGGTGAGGTACTGGCCAAGCGCATGTACGAGGTAAAGATGAGAGAGAAAACAAGAAGTGTGGATGACGCCAACAGCCAACGCCGGGCTCGAAGGCTTATCGAAAGAAGAGGAAGTGAGGTCGAGAGGGGACGTATTGTCGATGACAGCCCCTCGCATTAGAGTAGCTTGAAGTCCTTTTCTTCGCAATGGACCTCAAAAGCCTCGCCGTCCATCTTACCGTAGATGTAAGCCTCGCCAACGAATAGGTGCTCAAGATGCTCACTAGAGCCATTTTGAGTTGGTCGGAGGATAACGGGGACGCTGCAGCCATATAAGATAGCAATTACATCTCCCTTCTCGGTCCTAGATGGTCCAAAGCCAACGAGTTCTTCATGCTCGAAGTCGCAAGTGTTGGTGGTGGCATTACAAATGGTGTCGCCTCTGAGGAAGGATCGGTTCCAGGTAACAGCTCGGATGCGACGAAGGTAGTCGTACACGATGTTATTGGGGCCGCCTTGAAGGTTCCCCCGTAGAATGGTGTTAATGTTGATGTGTCCACTATTCGTCTGATAGGTAAGACAATGTTGACATGCGTTCTTGTACCAATGAGGGGGTGGGTTGCCCTGTGGGTCGCGGTCTGCCACGAGAGTTTGCCATAACTTGTCTGGAACCTCAGTGATTTCTATCGCGTCCTTGTCGAATACCCATCCTAGACCCTCCAAGCAATCTTTGGTAATCACACCATCGGGAAACGGGTCAGTGCGGAACGAAACTGTCCCTATCATGACACCTCTCACGGATATAGACATATCGTGTATGACCAGGGAAGGTGGGGCCGAGGCACGATGGACAGGACTCCGGGGGAACTTGACACGGGCTTGCTTGCCCTGCCTACCGCAAGCGTTGTAGTTGTTACTACCGGGTAACCCGACAAAGCTGTCGCCAGCCTTTCGACCGCGAAACAGATCTTCGCCCTTTCCCCACGGAGAGTCTTCCACAAAAAGGATCCAGGAAGGTAGTTGGACTAGCCGAGGGGTTGTTGGAGTTCGGGTCCGGCGTTCCTTCAATGCCCAGTGGCGACAGATTATGTCGATGGATCCCGAGGTATCGACAACCCATTTAACAAAGTCGCGATATATCTCAAAGAGATCGTTGCTATAGTTTGGAAGAGGCGGGGACCAATGCTGCGCTGCGGTATGCGGGCCATATGTAGTCACCTCTTTGGATATACCTCTCAAGGCATTGATTGTATCGCGTGGATCGGAAGTGTCGAAGCCGGACAGAGAGCATACCAAGCTTTCCAATCCTTTGGTAGATTCCAGGATGCCGTTGGGTCCCTTGCGAAACAACGAGGATGTCATGTCCACTAACAGCTTGGCGCCTAAGTGCTCGATTTCCAGGGTTGAGTCATCGTCCAGGTTACTGCGCTTGACCTGAGAGAACTTGTAATACGTCAGGAGCCGGCCCTTCAGGGCATCAAAGTTTCGGTGGAAGATAGCGATGGCGGTTTGAAAGTCACTCCAGTGCTGCACATGCTTGCCATAGTGAACTGAAGCGGATTGTGCAACTGCCAGCTCTTGTATGACCCAGCGCCTCGAGAACCTATGGGAGATGAGCAGAGAAAAGACTATGTTGAGCTATGATGCACTTACCAGTTACACTTGAGAAGTTCGTACAGGCTTGCCCAATCTCTGAGATAAGCATCGTTACCGAGAAGAGCTAAGTGATTCTCTGGATCAATGATCTTAGGGATAAAAGCCATAGCCCTGTCGGAGACGGGATCATCGAGATTGTCAGAGCCAAGCCATACGTTCACGCTGTAGGCTTTACGGTAGATTTGCGCCATCTTTAGCACTTGCTCTTCCTTTTCTTTGGTGTTATGTTGATTGATGCATAATGCATCCACCCAAAGCGTGATAGTCTCGTTCTCTAGTCGCAAATGTCTGAGAGCTTCGTAAAGATTTGGTTGGATCATAACTATCTTGTCTCGCACAGCCGTTGTGGGTACTTCAGTCGATTTTCTGATGGACTGAACATGAGGCGAGGCTAAGTTTTCCTGGATGATAATGGTACTGTCGTCTGCACTATTGCCCCAGTTGTAGGAAAGGGCCGAGTACGGGTAATCTTCGCTTCCGAGGTGATCATCGTTAACGACCAGTAACGAAGCGATGATTTGCTCATCGAAGGTGCCCGGCTTAACAAGTAGGAGACGAACTTGGTCGTCAGAGATACCTTCGTAACGGTACCTCCTGTTCATCCGAGCCAAAAGTCCACCCCATCTAGATCTAGGAGCGATATCCGTTCTCGCGCTCTTGGAGTCTTCAAACTCGTTTCCGCTGATGTCGCCCTTAAGGGAACTATCCGAGGTTGACCAAGCATCAACACCTTCTTTTTCTGAGATGGAACTTCCTGAAACCGTTACAGAGTCCCGACCGTTATCAGCGAAATAAGCATTGGTCTCAAAGTACGCGTTGATAACTCTATCTCCTTCACTGTAGGGCAACGGGAGTGAGCTCAGAGAGAATGAACGTATGTGTTCAGCGACGTGGTCTAGAAGCTGCGATCCAGATATGTCGTCCAGATTCCCAGTGAAAGAGCATAGAGGACAACTCATAGCTCCCAAAAGCTTTGGGTTTGAGCACGTCTGAAGAAAGGCTGATGTGCTCCTGATTGATCCCTTATGTAGGTCGGTAAGATGGCCTTTAAGCGAGTTGATCGAATTGAATTGAGGCGAGTCGTTGCATAGCGAGCATTCCCAGTAGATCTCTGGATGGTTATGAGCATGAGTCATATGGTTGATCCAACTTTTTCTGTCTGTATATAGAGCCTCAGGGTCGGTGCAGGCGTCTAAAACGCAAATATATGGCTGAATGTCTTCTTCGATGTGCTTCCTGTTGTCTTAGTTAGAGAATAATTCAAGTAACTGATATTGCGGCCGTAATATACGAACCTCCAGCGATGCCATTTGAGATCTTTCTTCCGTAGTTGTACACAGCAACATGGACATCGAACCTCAAGTAGTCTTTTGTTCAGACGCGGAGGACGAGGATATTGCGCTTTGATAGCTGAGGCAACCTCAGAAAACTGGGTACCCGATTGTTGAGATCTAGCGACTGTTACCGATGGCGACTCCAGTAAGTCGGGATCTAGGATAGAGGCAGTCGTATTTGATAAAACGTTAGTAGCAACCTGATGAGGTTGCGCGATCTTTTCTTGTGTTTGGATATTTGAATCCACGGTTGAAGAACCACTTGTGCCATGAGGAGCAGCTGCGATGATGCTAAGAAGGTTTTGATTAGACTCCGCCGCTTCAGCACCAGAAGAGTCGACATCGGGGTCTACACGGGGTTGTGTGCGCTTCATCTCGTGTCTCTGGGAGTACTTAAAACGATTGTGTCTTCTCAGGTTTGCAACTATCAGACGTTCTTGTACCGCGGTTAGTTCCCGAGACATCGAAGATACATTCCAGGCATGTATATCAAACGAATTCGAAATGCTTGTAGCTTCTGGTCTCGACTCTTCGAAGATCTCAGAGCCAAGTGATTCCCGGAGTGTGCGGCGCTTGTTTTCAAGATTCTGGGGACGAAATAGTACAATGTGTGTAAGATGTCTTCGAAGCATCTGTAGATCCGGATCATTGTGACTGTTAAATAAAAAGATGCTGTCGGCTTTCGAATAATGAGAGTTGACAGCGGCTTTTCGTATGACGATACTTAGCTGCGCTAGATCGTTCAAGAGAGTATCAGCGGCTCGAATCGCTTCTGAAAGCTCTCTGGTAACCTCAGCTGGAGTTTTTCCGATTACTGTAGTGGCTAATTAATACGTTAGAATTTGTCATAGAAGAGCAGGCATCTATGCTCTGCTAAGACGATTATAGACTTACTGTGCAAGAGATTGTATAATTCCCCACCAGATGAGTCCTTGAATTCTAGGCCTCGATCAATCTGTAGGCCTGCCTAGAGTTAGTACAATGGTTTCGTTGTTGACTTTTGAGTGCCTGAATACCGAGATCCCTGCAACTGTCGATCGTATTTTGTAGCACGACCAAGAGGTCCACAACTCCATTCCGAACATGTGGCTTGGCTTCCAACCTCTTATCAAGGGATGCGTTCTGGCTATTGGAAGCGCCTACGCTGGCATCCCAGAGCTTGAAATCGGCCAATCTGTCTTCTGCCCAATCATCTCTTAGGCTCCGAATCAGCAAACACCTCATAAAGCTACTCCGGCAGGCCTTGGTTGCGTCTGAAATACTTGGCCAGTTGGTTGTATTCTCGGAAGATGCGTCAGATTGACTTTCACCACTAGCGACTTTCTCGTAGCCTGCACTTGGCTCCATCGTACCCAGACCATGCCCCGAACCTCCGCTATCGAAGGCAGAGGCGCCGTCTCTGGTAGGTTTGTCCATTATCGCTTCTCTCGTTGGTATAACCTAGTTCATAGATTCTAGAGCAGTGAGTGTTAATGAGTAACATGTACAGATGCTGTGGTCCGTCTGGTGCAGGGACGAGGGGACACTAAGCGCCGTGGCTGATTACGTAATATTCAAGGCGGTTGTCATTCGTTAAGATATCAATGAGGTTTCAGCCACGTTCATTACCCCTCTTTCTGCGCCATGCTAGGTCTAGTGTCAGTAGTGTTACCTCAACACATGGCCCATCTGCTCGTTCTGATTCTACTATGTCTTGTGCTACACCAGAGCGATGAGCGAGAGTCAACATACTGCTGATCTGAAAGCGGCCCTTATTGGGTTGCATGTCATCGCCCGTGCTCTTCTACATACACTTCTCAAATCTGGAACACAGAAACAAGAGACTAGAGTGGTCGCACACATATCTGGGGTCTTGGCGCTTGCCAGCGAGATTGCCCACTCCCTCAACAGTAACTTCCTCACCGAGCTTACCACGTTGTGCAAGGTGAATCTTTTTCCGACGTTTATAGACGAAACCAAATACTCACTACAGTAGTGGCAGCACCGAGATGACCGTTGGAGCTTTGCCAAATGGGTTAAGTCGTATTCGGAATTCAAACTTGATACAAAAACGTGGCTTTGTCAAGAAGCGTCTACGCACGCTGAGGGAGGTTTTTTGGCTTACGCTAAATCCCCTCTTTCGGATCAGGATGCGCTACTTCATTTCCGTACAAACGAAGCAGTGGGACTTACTCTAGCACTGAAGACCACCCTCCTATACCACAATCTGCCCCAAAACGGGGACGAGGACACGCTAGATGAATTACCTCAATTTGTCACCAGGAACCTTTACACAACGGTTTCTGAGTATTCCAGCTGTGACTCCTCGCCTTCGGAAGAGACCAAAGCGCGGCATCATGAAGTTCGGTTGTGTTTAACAGGTCGTTCGCATGTTTCGGATGGTTTCGCAACTTTCGACGTACACTCTCTCTGCTCCCCAGATCCACAACTAGACGGGACGTTAGGCCACTGGCAACAGTTAAGGTTACGGGTATCTATGTAAGAATATATCGCATGCTGTAAAAGTTCGATATGCTGACGAGGTGCTATGCTTGTAGGAAGAGAATGGCGACGAAGGAAGTCCGTTTTAGTGAGCTTGAGACTACGTCTTGTCACTCTGATGATAGCTCTAGCGCGAGAACTATGCTCGCTAGTCCTGATTCTATGTCTAAGCAAGAATTTTGTGGCCTGCTAAGGAAAGACGTAGGCCCGGTCAAAATATGCTTACAAGTCGAAGATCGATGTCTGCTCGATCTTGCTGACTCAGAGACGACAGGCCAGAGACTGGCACGCAGAAAAAGTATTCCTTTGGCCAAAGTCCTTAATTCTTATGAGATGTCTCGGAAGATAAGGGTAGTCCTCGCCTTTACGCTCGCTCGCTCGATATGGCAGTACTACGATTCTGACTGGACGAGTACAAGTTGGTCAGCAAGTTCGATACAATTTATGTTGGAGACGGATAGATCTGCACCAGCACAGTCACACATCACGTGTGCACCCAGTTTCACGGTTCGGTTTCATGATGATGAAGACAGGATCCCGGAATGTTTTGAGTCAAATCATGTTGGGCACAAATATCCAAGGATATTGTCCCTGGGGACTCTGCTCCTAGACGTCGGCCGAGAATTCCAGGACCAGGGGACCCAGCAGCCTTCGTCTTCCATGGAACAAAGGATCAACAATGCGTGCACTTCAGGTCTAGAAGCATCTGACCCTGATTGGCCTCATTTTGGGTACAAGGACAAAGCCGCAGAGCATCTTAGAGTTCTCTACAAGGATGCGACTGTAGCTTGTTTTGATAGTAACCTTTTCAAGCCTAAGTGCGACAGGTAAGCCCTAGACATCTATGGCTACAAATTGCTGCTAAAAGTTTGTTCAGGTGTAGACGCCATGACATAAAATGCTATGGTTCTACTACCCGGCTATGCAAAGGCTGTGTAGAGGCTAGGCACAAGTGTACATACAAAGGCGTTCCCAGACTGAGTGAGGAAGCCTTTGTTCTTGGTGCTCAAGCGAGACGCGAGGTTTTGCTAGAAAAGGTCGTTCGTCCCCTGCGTATGGCTCTTCACCTGATTGATTGGGACGCGTCCGACGATAGACCAGAAGTCATTCCCCTACGATCGACAAGAGAGGCCCATCTTGGTCCTCTGCACCAGCTCCGACGCTCTCACAACGCTGTTCCCGAGGTTCAGGAGCGAGTAAGCTCTGCTATGTCACATTCCTTTACGTTCCGAAAAGTTACTAACTACTGAATCTAGTCACCGCCACGAAGATGGCCACGCCAAAACTCAGTATCATTCTACGATGATGAGAGTTTGCCCGAAGGTGTCTTGAGCTTAAAGTAAGGCCGTGCTATCAAGAAAAAGTCGTCTTTACAATGCTGAAATGGATACAGACGTGGACAATACGAGAGATGGAAAGAATTGTTTGTCGAGACTGCTCAACGATTCGAAAGCACTGCCGCGGAAGAAACACATCCGTTAAAGATAGCTGTGCTCGACACTGGTCTTGATCAAAGCCACCAGGATATCATGACCGAGCTTGGCAGAATTTGGATTTACGAAAGCTTCCGTAATGTGTTTGAACGGGCCGAGAACAGTACCATAAAGGATCTCCAAGGTCACGGCACACATATCGTAGGCCTCATCCTGGAATATGCGCCGGACGCCGACCTTTACGTTGCGGACGTCACAATCGACGGTGAAGCTGACCGTAACCTGATCGCGAAGGTAAGATACAATCCAGTCAAAGAACGCGACTATGCTTACAATGCCCAGGCTATAGTTTCTGCTGTTAATCACGAGGTTGACATCATCTCGATATCGTTCGGGTTTCAGCAGAAGAGCGTTGGCGACGACCTTGAGCAAGCTATTGACTACGCCAAAAGTAAAGGAATTCATATTGTTGCGGCAGCGTCGAACAGCGGAGGAAATGCGGGTCGAGCATGGCCAGCCCGATATGATGGCGTTTTCTGCATTCATTCCACTGACGCAAACGGAAACCCTTCCGGATTCAATCCCACCGCGCTTGAAGAAGTCAATTTCGCGACCGTCGGTGAGGCTATCGTATCTAGCTGGCCAGAGCACCTGTCCGAACCACCTGGCAATGATAGTACAGATGATAGTGACACTCTGACCAAAGTCAAGTCCGGAACATCATTTGCAACCCCGATCGCTGCAAGTATCATCGCCTTTGTGCTGCGCTATGCGAGGACACATCTAGATCAAGAGCACGCACAGCAGCTAAGGCGACATGCTGTCATGGGCTCCGTTCTGAGGTGCATGGCAGGACCTAAAAGATTAGAGTTCTACTACCTGGCGCTGCACTCCAACCCCGCTCAGTTCTTTGGTAGAGAGAACCCGGAGGACACCCGCAGAGATATAATCACGGCTATCAGCCAGTCCGGATAGCATAGGACATGAGCCTGGACCTTATTTTGGGTTATATGTGTATCGTCACAGTAGCGACAGAATTGGATGTATTGAGAGATCTGGAATTAGACAAAAAGAACATGGGTCGGAGAATCCTCAGTCGTCTTTCCTCACTCCAAAGGTTACCCTATCTTCTCCCTCCGCTACCGTAAAAGCGCTGAAGGTATTCTCATCGATCAGCTGACACTCATGACTTATGGTGAGGTCATGCGGTCGACTCTTGGTAGGCGAAAGTTCGAGAAACGCACCTTTGAGATATTCTTCTTCTTTCTTTATCTTGCCCGACCTGCTTACTGTCACCCTGCTAACTTTGAAGGCCAGAACAAAGTCAGTGCTTCCTTCCCAAGAGGCTTTGGACTTCTTGGACCTCCCGCCATGTACCTCAAGTCCGCCGCCGACGGGGATAGTTCCTCCAGTAAGGATTGTGCCATCGACTTGGGCGCCTGCGAGGCCGTCCGTACTATCCATCGCCGTAGTAAGGCATTTTGCGCCGCTCACAGTCTTCAGCCCTGTTATAACGTAAAACTCTTTGCGAAACCGACTCCGTTCGAGGTATCGTAGCACGGCGGGTGCATTAGCGCAGCGCTCGATATATGCTTCGTATCGTGATACTTCGGCATTCGCGCTGTGATCGTCGGTGGTATCAATGTAATTGGTTTCCAGATCATCGAACGTGAACGTCCTGCCTGTGCTTTTTGGTGTTAAGAACGCTCACTAATACAACGAACGATAGTACTGACCTCCGCTCGACGTTGACCGCCACGTCAACTCCTGCACCAAGCAATGCGCTCAGAAAAGTGGTCATAACCGTGACCCCACCGGATCTTCCATCTTCTGTCTCAATAGCAGCTAGACTTTTCCGCGACTTGATTATACTATTGGCGTCCGGTTGCAGAGTCGCGAGGGGACGATGGGGCTCTTTCAGAGAGGCTAGCACATTGCCGAGCTTGATAGGGCCCCCAGGTGGATAATCCCAATTCCGTGGTAAGAAGTACTCGGGGACTTCAGATGCCATTTTCCTCGAGGAACGTATTGTCTACCTTACAGGCTTGGTCTCCGTAAGATTCGCAATGAAAGAGGTGATGAGGTTCTTGCGCTGGTGAGCTGATGAACAGCTGTGTAAGGATATACATGCATGAGGTGTTCTTGGGCAAGCGATTCATCTAAAGCTGCCCACGGCGATTGTGGCTCATCAAGCAGCTGCAGTATTGCTGGTCTAACAGCTGAGAGTGACGCGCGCGTCGCAAGCTTGGTTTTGGCGAAGATTAGCTCGCGTCGGCGACGCCATCTCGCAATCTACGCGCCATTCAGCGTTGAGTGCAATGGTCCGACTGGCCAGGCTGGGACGACACATTGGGGTTGTCGTAAGCGGGTTCGCAGCTGCTATCGCGTTGACCGATCTGACATTGGATGCCTGCTTGGCGCTGTCGTAGTTCTCGATAGCCAAAAAGTGGATGCGTAGGAGATGGCATCGAATGTGCTCACTGCAGCTGGGCTGTGTGCTCCCGCCTATCGCAAAGCGTTACATCCTCGCTCAGCCGCAGATCGGGAGGCCACCGGTAAGGTGTTCTTTGCATCAACACATGATGCGCGATTTGATCATTGACGTTTGCTTGCAGTACTTGGGTCGTGGCGAGTGAACGTAAGTACCAATGGCAGCCTGGAAGGTGGCGGTGTTTGGGGGAAGCAGCGGCACTCTCCTGAGGTAACCGAAGCCGGAGTAGCGCAATTTGCAGGCGGAAGTGACGCCCAGTACTCACAGAATCTATCACACATCCATGACATAGAACATCGACACGGCAACCTCGCCAGCTTGCATCTTCGACTTATCTGCGCATCTTCCTCCAATATTATTCATCCGATTCATCGTCCATCTGATCTTCGTCAAGTTCTTCATCGCCCAGCTCTTCATCGCTTAACATTTCTTCGCCCGAATCTTCCTCGTTCAAGTCTTGCATACTTCTGTCGTCAACACCGCTTTCCTCTTCACCATCAACCCCACCCC